ACTTCAGCATCGAGTGCGTCCTGTATTTGTGGTCGCTGAAGATCACCTATCCGCAGACGCTGTTCCTGCTGCGCGGCAACCACGAGTGCCGGCACCTGACCGAGTACTTCACCTTCAAGCAGGAGTGCAAGATCAAGTACTCGGAGCGCGTGTACGACGCCTGCATGGACGCGTTCGACTGCCTGCCGCTGGCGGCGCTCATGAACCAGCAGTTCCTGTGCGTGCACGGCGGCCTGTCGCCCGAGATACACGAGCTGGAGGACATTCGGCGGCTCGACCGCTTCAAGGAGCCGCCCGCCTTCGGCCCCATGTGCGACCTGCTGTGGTCGGACCCGCTGGAGGACTTCGGCAACGAGAAGAACTCGGACTTCTACACGCACAACTCCGTGCGCGGCTGCTCGTACTTCTACAGCTACGCCGCCTGCTGCGACTTCCTGCAGAACAACAACCTGCTGTCGATCATCCGGGCGCACGAGGCGCAGGACGCCGGCTACCGCATGTACCGCAAGAGCCAGACCACCGGCTTCCCCTCGCTGATCACCATCTTCTCGGCGCCCAACTATCTCGACGTGTACAACAACAAGGCGGCGGTGCTGAAGTACGAGAACAACGTGATGAACATCCGGCAGTTCAACTGCTCGCCGCACCCCTACTGGCTGCCCAACTTCATGGACGTGTTCACCTGGTCGCTGCCCTTCGTGGGCGAGAAGGTCACCGAGATGCTGGTGAACGTGCTGAACATCTGCTCCGACGACGAGCTCATGACCGAGGAGAGCGAGGAGCCGCTCTCGGACGACGAGGCGGCGCTGCGCAAGGAGGTGATCCGCAACAAGATCCGTGCCATCGGCAAGATGGCGCGCGTCTTCTCCGTGCTGCGCGAGGAGTCCGAGTCGGTGCTGCAGCTGAAGGGCCTGACGCCCACGGGCGCCCTGCCCCTCGGCGCCCTCTCCGGCGGCAAGCAGTCGCTCAAGAACGCCATGCAGGGCTTCTCGCCCAACCACAAGATTACCTCGTTCGCGGAGGCCAAGGGCCTGGATGCCGTCAACGAACGGATGCCGCCGCGGCGGGACCAACCGCCCACGCCCAGCGAGGATCCGCACCATCAGGCGCCCCACAGTCAGCAGGGCGGCAACAATGGGGCCGGCCACGGGTAAGCTGCAGGACGAGGATGCGGATGCGGATGCGGATGCGGCGCGGAGAAGTCTGGCGAGGAGTGGTCTGGAGGAGGGGCCGTGTGGAGAGGAGAGGAGCGTAGCGGAGGCAACACAAAGAACACCAACCGAACGGAACCTTAATTAAGCTTAATGTGGCAGAGCAACAACTTAAATACTAAAATCGATTCTAATTCTAAGTACTTGGCATAATCCCCTGCATTTCGTGAGTGATCGAGCCCGCACCAGCTCCATGTCCATGCCCATGCCCATGCCCACGTCCAAGTCCATGGCCCAGATTCTCCAAAAACCTCCAAACAGCATGGAGCAGAGATTTGTTTTTACGCAGGCGCGCGCACATTGGATATTAGAATTATGTGTGGCATACTTTGGCGCGCCGGCCCCCAGGAAAATTCCCTTTCTCAAGAGCAGAAAACCAACCGTAACCCATAACCTAGCTTAAGTTGTAATGTATAAACTGAAATGGGCAAATTTTAATATGGAAAATGAACAAAACCGACAGAAAAACCTCCCCCCGCAAAAACGTAAAAAAAAAAAACATAAGAAGAAGATGAAACCGGGGAGAAAGAAGCACTAACCCAAAAGAAGAGGTGGGAAAAAAATCCAGCGCTAATCTGTTCCAAACATTTAGCAGCGCCAAAAAGAAGCGTACATATATGTATACATATGATTATATAGAATTATCGAGGCATAGAGCCGAGATGTAACCGAAAGTGTAATGAAATTCGAAATGAACAAAGGTCATTTATGTAATAATCGTAATCCTTGAACTAGAAATGTAATCTTGCATAAAAAAAACCAAAACAAACAAACAATTTCGAAACCATTTGCAATATGTGCCGCAATAGTCCATAAATGTTCCTTATACGAATTAAACATTGAAAGTGAAACCAGAGTTTATTTTTTTTTTTAAATATATATAAATATATTAATGTATAATTGTTGCATAATCTAACTTTCGACTTAATATGTTACATTTTACATGTGCGTGTTCGACTGTGTGTGAATAACCGCTTGCGTTTTATTAGTTGCTTGCCTTACAAAAAGAGAACAAAAATAGAAAAAAAACGGAAAACCAGTAAAGATCATAATCGATATTCGAGGATCAAGTCTAGCTAATTAATGAATTGATGTATCCGATCGATGACATTACCGTGAATGCATTTTAAACAACACTGAGACACAGACACACAGACACAAAAAAGGGACAGATCGTTTACCATTTAAATAGCAAATCAAATATTTAACTAATAAATTAATATGTAAACATAATAACATATAATATTTTCCTGTGTGTAAATTAAACTAAAAGATTAATTAACTTAGCGATTCGATTTTTGTTGAAAGCGCAACACACACACACACACACACGACTTATTTCCCTTGACTTAAAAAGCTAATTGAAAAGAGATTAAGCATAAAAAAGATTTGTATTTAAGTAAGTATAAGGCATGGATCGGCGTTTCAGATCAATTCAATGATAATGATGGCAATCAATTTCTCAATTTCCGCCTACACCTGTTCCAAAACTGATGATATCAGCTTCTCCAGTATCGATATCCAATCAAAATATATACACACGCAAGAAATGCCTTTATCCAGATCACACTTTTCCACGTCACCAAAATATTTACGCTGTACTTTGCTTCGACTCTTCAACCACCTCTACTTGCATTGAACTCTATCTAAATATATATAAAGATATCTATATATATATATATATTATATACCGAGTTGACATTGGAAAACAATTAGTTCTTAGTGATCTATGCACGTATCGTAACAATACCAAGATTATTTAAATCGTAGTTAAAAGAAACAAATCAAGGATGAAAAGCAGTCTTAGGGAGAAAACTTAGCTTTTATAAAAAAAAAAGAAACACGGAAAACAATTTACTCAACTAATTGAGAAATATACATATATATATATATATATATATATATATATATATATAGCGTTTTTTTTAATCCGCAACCACAACTATATAATTATTGAAGAAGTATGGAAAGGGACGACGTTTAAGTTTTGATGTTTCTGTTCTATATATGGTTAAATTGTTGATACTGTTAAACCGCAAATGCATATTTAGTTAGTACCAAGTGAAATGGGAATCCTCCTCAAATCAAATTTAATTGCAATAGTTCACGAGTACGAAACCAAAGAACACCAACACCAAACAAATATTTAATACACTCAGATAGCAAATTGGCATACATTTTAAAAAATCGCCAATCAAATATTACACAAATGTAAAATATTGGGTTAATAACTTAAAAAATTATTTCGGAATTTCAAGTACTTCTAACATACATTTTCCAAAAAAAATTTCTAATTTTAAAAACTCATATAGCAGCAATGACATATTAATTTCTAATACATAGTTAAAATTTTTTTAACTAGGCATAACCATTGTTTTAAAATGTAGTTATTTGTTTGCTCTATCCAAAATGTTGGAGAGCAGAATTTCTATGTTTTAAAAATAATATTCCGAAAATTGTAAATTTTTAAAGAACATCTGATTTGTAGGGCAATTTGTACTCCGAGTGTATCAAAAGCAAAAGCCATGGTAAAGTATTAAGCTAAGCTATCAGTAATAATAATTCTACATGTATAACTAGCAATCCATTTGCTTAGCTCCCTCGATAATGAAAGTAACTACTGCATGAGGCATAGACAAAACTTCCCGGCACATAGTAAAACTAAATAAATGAATAGAACGATGGAGGGCGATGTGTAGATTTTGATAATACATCAAGACCATACCAAAATACTTATGGAACTATTAACAAGCATTGAAACGTTAAACATAATGCATAATACCCAGACAAAAGCAGAATCAAAAATGTGGGAATGAGACAGACGGCTGCATGGTACATACATACATATATAAGACATTTCGCCTCTTAAAGCAATTATAAAGATAACAAATGAGTAACGTTTATTATATTATTAAATTATACATACATATACATACTATATAAACGGAATAAAATAAATCAGCAGAAAACTTTCCATTTTATGGCGGTCGATTCCTTATTTCATTTTTCTTTTCAATATACTGGCGTTTTTGTCCCACTTCAACTTATTCGAAAAAAAAGCCACTACACTATTAAGTGGAAAATAATTATTTAAAATAGCATGGACATAATACTAAAACTATTTAAATTAAGTCACTGGAAAGACAAAAGGTTGGAAAGTCAATCTTTTATCACCGTCCTTGATTTGAAATTAATGGTTTATCTGATTTGAACACAATTAAAAAAGGGCACAGAATCTAATTATCTTCTAGAAGAACAAAATTTAACTTCAGTTATTTTAAATGTGGATTAAAATTAAGGCATTTTGAAAACAGAAACTGTGGCTTTTGTTATTCTGATCCAAAAAAAAATGTTTATCAGTTCCTCAACCTCCTTTCAATTACCATTAATTTGAGCCTTTAAACTTTTTAATTCAAAGTTTTCTACCAAACTTATATACATACATACATACATAACTTGAAAACTCTATTTGATATAAAAATATCCGTATTCTACATATTCTTAGTAGAATAAAGAAACAAACCTGGCAAAAAAATGTATTGTTTTAATTGTATAAGCAAAATGCTATATGTTGTAAGAATGTAGCAAAAAAAATTAAATTTTTTAAAGATCAAAATTAAGCAGGGAAAAATCAATGAATGGGAATCCCCGTTAACTTTCGTATCGTTTAGTTCCTATAAATCGGACATTTTTGGCATTGTGGTATTTTCTTTTTTTGGTATAAAATTTCGGTATTTTTAAACGTTTAAATTAAGCCGTTTTTCAATATCGACCAGGTGGCAACGCCGTCACAAGAAATATTTTTATAGATGGAGTAAAGAGCGAATTTTGTACCGCCCAAAATATCTAAACTTTAAGTGTTTGTTGGTCGCCAACGACAAGCCATTTGGCCATAGTAAATTAGTAGTGCAAACTGGGAGTTTAATACACAACCAACAACAAACGGAGCGGCGAAAAAACGTAAGGGAGAGTGGCAAAGAGAAGAAAACAAATGCTCCCGCCCGCGTGGCTGTGGGTGTGTGAGTGCGCGGCGGGTGTCCATGTGTCCGTGAGTGTGCGTGTGTGTACGAGTGGAAGTGGAAAGTGTGTGATTAAGTGCAGTCGCTCTCCGGCGGACCAAAAGAAATCATTCAACAGTAGTGTTTAATGAACGGCTGAGCCAGCCAGCAGGAAACGCGATCGCCCAACTACTCCACTGTATCTGTAGTTGTTGTTTTTTTTTTGTTTTTATCAAGGAGAGGCGCCGCAACCAATAAAACCAACACACCCACAAAGGCAACCAAGTCGCGTCATCAGTGGAAGAGGAAAGACAGCAGCAGCGGCAGCGGGAGAAGCAGTGGTTTTCCAGCTCCAGAAAGAGTCCTTAAAACATGGACAGCAAGGGTCGCAATGTCATCGTCTGTGATAACGGCACAGGGGTAAGATATTAGGAGTAAGCAAACCACCGCACCACCCACATCCACACACACCAACGCCTACAGCTACACCGACTGTGTGTGACACACATTTCCAGAGTTGAGCCGTGTTGTTGTTGCTTGTGCTTGCTGCGCTTCTTTATTTTCTTCTTGTAGGTTAAGCAGCGCTTGGACGGCCATACTGCTTGCCGGCCCAGCGGGCGTTGACGTCGCGCTTAGTCAAGCAGTTGCGGCAGTTGCAATTACGCGTGTGCTTCTTCTTCTTCGCGCTTTTTAGTCACTGGAACCCAAGAGCGATCGCCGATTACTCAGCGGTTACTCAGTCACTCCTACACATGCACATACGAACACCTATTGCCCAAAGAGCGGCGCAACAACAACGCGGCTATTTCCAACATTCAGTTCTTATCGGGAAGCCCGAGAATTTTTGTTTTGTGATTACGCCTCGATTTCGATAAGAGTTCGATAAACCAAAGCAGTTAAAGAGCAAGGAAAAGCTACACTAAAAAAGAAAGAAGGTTAAAAGCAGGAAAATTATTCCTATGCTTAACATTAAAATCTGAAGTAGTACTCTTTCTTAGAAATTGAGTACTTAATACTATAGTATTTTGTATATTTTAAACTAACCAAATCTTTCACCTTTCTTTTTATTGCAGTTCGTCAAGTGCGGATATGCCGGCAGCAATTTTCCCACCTTCATTTTCCCCTCGATGGTGGGACGACCCATGATCCGGGCGGTGAACAAAATCGGTGATATCGAAGTCAAGGTATGATCCATCGTACTCACCAATGTAACTATGTTTAATTAATCACATACATGAAAAGATAGTACAACCACACACAACACAAATTGAATTGTGCACAGGCCATCAATTGTATTACCACATATTATATCATATTTTCGATGTAACGTATACATGACTAGTTAAACGGCAAGAACAACATTTAGCGCATAGAAGTTCACTATCCACCAACCATCCATCCACCATATATATATCATATTACCCACCCCCCTTCTGATTTTTGAGTGAAATTGCTCTATACTTCTATTCTGTCTGTTAGTGTGGCATATCAACTTACTTCTATGATTTGTTTTTGATCTACTCCATTCACATTCACATTTCATTTCATTTCATTTTCCATCTTGATTTCATCACAGGGACTTTTCCCAACATATTGCATTTTTGCTTGAGTTGCATTGGTCTCGGTGTGTGGGTCTCTCATATTATGTGCATAATGTATCAGTATGTATTATGGTGCAAGAATCTATCGAGGATATCTTACTTATACCCAGGTTAAGGCTTAGCATAAAGATCGGTGGATATGGAGGCCGGACCACGAGCCATTTGGCTTCTTTTTTAGTGCATCACTTGATATCCGATATCCTCAACAAATACACATTTATCTACCCCTATATAATTCCTTCCTAGCAGTTACTTTAGTTTAGACAGAAACAAAAAATAAACAACAAACCCAAAAATATAAACACATATTGAATAGCAACAACAAACGAAACCAAAAATATATTTTAAAATTTTAATCTTTCTGTTCTTTTTAATATTCTTATACATTTTTCTGTTCTTTTTTTACATATTTTGTTAAAAAACAAATATTTTGCAGGATTTACATGTCGATGTAAGTCAAGTTTGTATAGTTAAACAAAAAAAAACCAAAACCAAAACCAAACTACCACTAAGAAAATCTAATCACCAAGCAACACAAAAATCAAACTCCATTCGGCAAAGGTTAAATAATAAAAAAAATTTGTATACGATTTACACAATACGAAAACACAAAACAACACACGCTTGACAAAATATTTCGAAATTTTCTTGAATATTCCTAGTTAAAGCTACGCACTTAGGATTAACTAATTAATTGTTAACTGTTCACATTTTTCACTAGTTGTTTGCCTTGAATATTATCCCAACTATTTTCCGGCCCTGTCCAACTATCTTGTTGCTTCCTTTTGGCCATCATCTATAATTGTACGCCATACGTATAAAAATAAAAATCTCTGAAATGTCTTAAATCGGATAAATCTGAGGCGTGCTAAAAAAAAAAACAAAATTAATTGAACAAACAAACTTCCGTAAATATAATTTTTGTTATTTAACTTTTATTCCTTTGTTTTTAACGAAAACGATTTTTTTTAACCCAGCCAACCCTTTTGATTTTTGTACATATGTTATGGCAACCTAATTCAGTTGTTTGTTTGTTTTTATTGTTAATTACTTTGAATAAAAAAAAAAAAAAACTGATCAGGTTTTTGACTGCATGATGATGCCCAATTTTTGCTTAAGTCCTATTTGTTCCCCATTTTGTTTTGCACGTCTGTCTTTGTCCAAGTTAGGGTGTAATTCCAGTTGGAGGCGCTTTGGAGAATGTCCCCTTCTGCTGGAGTTTACTCGCTTATTGTTGCCTCTTGTTAATCGTTGATTGTTTAGCCTAGTTTAGTTTTATCCTTGTACTGTGATCGCTGTTTTTGTGCCTACCACCCTGTGAATGTCCCCCATACTTACGCTTACCAACCCAACCACTTAACCCAAACCCAAACCCAAAGCCAAAGCCAAACCCAAAGCCAAACCCATCCAAATCCAATCCGTAACCCACTGGTTATGCAGTGAGCAAGCCACGGACACTAACGCTGCGTCCTCTGACGAACGAATTTACAGGATCTGATGGTCGGCGATGAGGCGTCACAGCTGCGTTCCCTGCTGGAGGTCTCCTATCCCATGGAGAACGGTGTGGTGCGCAACTGGGACGACATGTGCCACGTGTGGGACTACACGTTCGGGCCCAAGAAGATGGACATTGACCCCACGAACACAAAAATCCTGCTGACTGAGCCGCCCATGAATCCCACAAAGAATCGCGAGAAAATGATCGAGGTGAGTCGTGGACAGATTCTTAAAATTTTAAGCTCCTTCAAAAAAAAAAAAAAATCCATAAACAATAATAGAAATTATTAAAAAAATAACCAGCAGTTTCATTAAATGATTTAATTTTGTAAGAGCTTACTGTCTGATCCATGCGAACTTAACTAACGATATTTTGGATTTCTGCAATGCAGGTGATGTTCGAGAAATATGGCTTCGATTCCACATACATTGCCATCCAGGCTGTGCTGACGCTTTATGCCCAGGGTCTGATCTCGGGCGTTGTGATCGATTCGGGCGATGGCGTAACGCATATATGTCCCGTCTACGAGGAGTTCGCCTTGCCCCATCTGACCCGGCGATTGGACATTGCCGGACGCGATATCACCCGCTATCTGATTAAGGTTGGTCTGCCGAATTTGATTTTGATTTTATGAATCTTTACTTGACTTTAATGGATTTTGATTTCTCTTCAATCAATAGTTACTGTTACTGCGTGGCTACGCTTTCAATCATTCCGCTGACTTTGAAACGGTGCGCATCATGAAGGAGAAGCTCTGCTACATCGGCTACGACATCGAAATGGAGCAGCGATTGGCCCTGGAGACGACGGTGCTGGTGGAGTCCTACACGCTACCAGACGGTCGGGTGATCAAGGTCGGCGGAGAGCGTTTCGAGGCGCCGGAGGCCCTGTTCCAGCCGCATTTAATCAACGTCGAGGGGCCGGGCATTGCGGAATTGGCCTTCAACACAATCCAGGCGGCAGACATCGACATCCGGCCCGAACTCTACAAGCACATAGTCCTGTCCGGCGGTTCCACCATGTATCCGGGTCTGCCCAGTCGACTGGAGCGAGAGATCAAGCAGCTGTACTTGGAGCGGGTACTGAAGAACGATACGGAAAAGCTGGCGGTAAGCCGATCAAATATTCTGTTCCTTTTAAAATTAGTAGTATATTCTAATTTAATTAAATATTATCTGTTTTGTGTATGAGTATGGTCATTGATAAGTTGGGAGAATATTGGTTGCTTTGGGCTAAAAGCTGTCAAATTAGATACAAATAAGTTTAAAATTAAAAACAATTATAGTGGCGAAAACGTTACTAGAAACAGTCATTCGACGTTTAAACTGGCAATCAAAATGTAATAGTAAATTATAAATTTATACTTTAAGTATTGCTGGGAGAAACATCGATGTATTATCGATATACCGATGTTTTTTATATAAACATAACATGCTAGGAAAAAGCTACTTAAGTAAGAATTAGGATTTCGATACAAAATTTAAAAAATAAAGTTTAAACTTTATTTGAGGAGGATTATATTAAGTAGTATTTGTGTTGATTTGTCTTAGGATGGAGAAATTTTTGTAGTAACATAGTGCAATGAAAAGGTTAATTTACTATTTTAGGTCATGTGTTGAGTATGTATTCTGTTTTTTTTTTAAACTAATAAAAACCATCTTAACAATCTTTCTCAATGTTGCTTAAAAAAACCATTTGTAACATAAAAACTTGTTTGTATCGATACACCGATAGGTATAGAACATGATACTTAATACGAAATAAGTTAATGGATGAATTAAACTTTAAACCGAGTCGATTCTAATAATTATATGATTCCTTTATAATAACTGTTATTATTATTTTTGTAGAAATTCAAAATACGAATTGAAGATCCGCCCAGACGCAAGGACATGGTCTTCATCGGCGGTGCTGTGCTGGCGGAGGTGACAAAGGATCGCGACGGTTTCTGGATGTCCAAGCAGGAGTACCAGGAACAGGGCCTCAAAGTATTGCAAAAGCTGCAGAAGATCAGTCACTAGAGGTGCAGCCTAGTGCGACGGAGTGTGAGGACTACTGCCTGCGAGTGGGATGGGCGTTGATGAGACCCCAACAAATAGGATGAACAATTGTATAAATTTGTTTTGGCTAGTTCGTATAAGTTGAAAATTTGCAGTTTTGCGTGATGTATCTGTCTGTCTATATATGAGTGTTTTTGTGTGCCTGCGTGAGTGGGCGTGTCTGTCGATCAGAATTGGTTTAGATTCCCATAAGTTGCAGACATGCCGACAATGCTCGATCCCCGTACAATGAATTGTAATGTTTCTTTCGTCGCAAAGACGAGCGCCTAAATTGTGTAACCCTTAATTACGTACGTTTAATTGAATATGATTTGCCCCCCCCCTTTTCCTCTTGTTTTTGCTAAATATATATATATATAAATTCCCTATATCGATATTTTTGTAAACGCAAAATGTTTCATTTCGTGCGAGTATTTCATATTAAGTATTAACTAGGCCAAGTCTGCTAGTAGCAGCGATTATAAATCGTGTGTGTATGAGACAGAGAGAGAGAGAGATAGAGAGGGAGAGAAATAGAGCAAGAAAGTTGCACAGCACAGAAGGAGAAAGCTAGTGTCGAGGTCATCCTGCTTTCGTTAACTAAATACACTGATTTAGCAGCCTTTTTCCGATAAAGATAAACCAAGAACAGTCACACGTTCATGCATTTATATTGCCCGAAAATCGATAATACTATCTATTAACCGAAAGTGTTTAATTTGATTTAATTTCCCCTTCCTGCCTTTTCTAGTTAGTTGCAATTTGATGATTGTTGGGGCTAAGCGGACGCTACACATGCGAAACTATCGGCACATACATATACAATATATATGATCAATATATATTTATATGCTTAATGAATGTGTAATGCCAATTATATAAGTAAATGCAATAAACATAAACATAAATATGTATGATGTATACTGTATACTGTAGTAGACTAAAGCTAAAATCGTATAATGACTTGGTTTTTTTTTACCAACTAAAAACAAAACAAGAATCACAATAAAAACCAAACAACAAATTCAATCTACGCTGTTTTATGACTGGGCGGCTACCAATTTCCCACAACAAGTAAAACAATTTATGGCCCCTGGTTAAATGGGCATACTAACAATGGCAATGCTTTGTGGCCGTAATCAGTAATGCTCAATACAAATTGTTTAGAGACCGTCCAAATGAATTGCAATAAAATGCAATACCATGAGAAAAGAACGCACAAAGGAAGTCAAAAATAGCAAAAAGTGGGAACGCAGCTCTTGAGAAAGCAGGTGGCGGATCTAACACTGAAAGGGGTACCAATACCATAATTTATTTATTTATTTAAAAAAAGTTTCCCTTGGTATCAAATAATTTCTAATGGTAAATTGAGCTCTGGTTATGTTTTCTAAAATGTAAATATTAAGTTATTTCTGCAGGGTGTATAATATCTACGTATCTTAAAGTTTTGAATTGAACTCCGCTTATATATACATATGTATATTTTTAATTTAAACACTAAGTTCATTTTGCAGAATGTATATTATCTATGTAAATTACAATGTTTTTATGATTTGTTTTTTTTTGCTTATTTATTCTACAATTAGAAAAGGTAATAAAAAATTTTATTTTGGCCTCAAATTGATGGTTTTGTATTTATTTAATTTATTCCAATTGTTAATTTATGTTATAAAAGTAGATTGTTTTGATCTAAAATTCTTTGGCTATCTCATAGATACAATTACGATGGTCTCTTAAAATTCTAAGGCTTTTTTATCATCACTTCTGATGACAAGCTCCAATGCAAGCCCTATAAAATGAATCAGAAATTTCTTTTAAGACCTTAAGCCTTACAAATGCTGCTCCTGATTTACGGCCCAATATTGTTTACCTCCGTTTTGCCCCTGTGGACGTCCGATAAGATCAATCCGGTGCGGTCCGTCTGCTCGATGGCCAGATAAGTTCTTTGTTTTGGGCCCACGACCCACTGCCCACTGACCACTTTGGCCGGAGTGGTCGCAATCAGTTGGAGAAACGACGCAGCATGGACAATACATCAATGGAGTTGCTGGTAGTGGGCCTACTCCTGATTCTCGTCCGCCAAGGCGTTCGATCGGAGTTTGGCGACCTGGCCGGCGATTGGCTGGTGGATTATGGCCAGTCGGAGCTGCGACTGCTGGAGGGTGAAAGTCAGTCGGTGGTGTTGCACATATACAATGTGCTGCCCAAGGATTCGGCACTGGATTACCAATTTGTGGTCTACTCAGGGGATGAGCAGAGGGCATCGTCTCTGATCACGATACCATGGGAGGATTTCGACCAGTTGGGTAGCTGGCGGGGATCGGTCGATGTCACCGGAGTGCGATTCGGATACAGTTCGCTGGAAGTGGAGCTGCAATCGGCCGGGCTAAAGGAGAAGGAGGCATATCCGAATCCCCTGAGCATAGCGGTCCTAAGGTCACGAGTGGTGGACGAACGTGTCACCACCTACGTGTCCGCTGCCTTGGCTCTGCTGATGTTCCTCAATCTGGGAACTGCCTTGGATCTGCATCGACTGGCGGCCATCGTTTGCCGACCCGTTGGCCCCGTGGTGGGCGTGGTCAGTCGATTCGTGGCCATGCCCGCCCTGGGCTTTGGACTGGGTCGTGCCCTTTGGCCGGGCGCCTGGCCACTGCAACTGGCCCTTCTCTATACCGCCGTGGCGCCCAGCGGTGGCCTGGCCAATGTGTGCACCGTCTTCCTCAAGGGCAACCTCAATCTGTCGGTGGCCACCACCACCATCAATTGCCTGCTGGCCCTGGCCTTCCTACCCATTTGGATTTTGGTCTTGGGGCGGCTGCTCTACGAAGACGACGAGCTGGCGGTGCCATTTGGCCAACTCTCTGGCGGAGCGGCTGCCCTGGTGGCCTGCCTGGCCATTGGCGTTCTGCTGCGACTCTGCGTCCCGCGCACCACGCGGTTCATCTTCCGCTTCCTCAAGCCGCTCTCCGTGATCCTCAGCTTGTGCCTGGTGGGGCTGACCGTGGGACTCAACTGGTTCGTCTTCCTCGAGTTTACCTGGCAGGTGAGTAAGGGTTAAAAATATGTATAGGCACACCTATCCATTTTCAAAGTTTATAAGCTTGGACCAAATAATAGTAGCTTTTTAGCTTATGGAAATAGCAATTAAATATTGTTGTTAAACACATAAAAATTCACATTTATTTTGGGTGTATTAAAATATCTGTAAAAAAGATTGATAAGAAAAAAAGCTTTAAGATTTTTTATTTAAAAAAAATGGATCAGATATAGGAAACCTTTTTTTATTCCTATACATGATAATATTAGATAAATTAAATATTTTTCCATATAACATATGTACTATATCACACTGAATGTGTGTGTTTTTATTTCATTAGGTTCTGGTGGCTGCCTTGTGCCTGCCCCTCGCTGGGTACCTGGCCACTTACCTGCTGTCCAAGCTGCTCTGCCGGTCGGCCACCGACGCAATGACCCTGTCCATCGAGGCCAGTGTGCTGAACATGACCATGCCCATTGTGCTGCTGCAGTCCAGTCGACTGGACCAGCCGCAACTGGATCTCGTCCTGGTGGTGCCCATTGCGTCCTCGCTGGTGTCCCTGGTCCTGGTGATCCTCTTCTATGGCGCTCGGCGATGCCTTGGCTGGAATAAGCGGCAGGATGAGGATGGCTTCGACCACAAGCAGCTGATAGCGGAGCACGAGGAGCAAGAGGGTGACCTATACCAGCGGCCCTAAATCGTTTTTTATTTTTGTTTATAGGATTATGGACAAACGCTGAAAGGCTTTTAATCGCTCGACACTATTACTAAACCATTTGAACTTATTGAAAGAAATGGTTATAAGTATGTACAATTTAAGTCTGATTTTTATTTTTGACTGCAGGGCATATTGTGTGCTGTTAAACATAGATTTACTTACTTTAAATATCAATTTTCGTAATTAAAATAAGTCTTAATTCGATTTAAACTTTGTATATACTAGTAGATAGATTATAGTTTAAATTAGTTTAAGACTATGTATTATTTATGGTATTTATAATAAAAACTATTAATATATGCGAAAATTGGTAAAAAAAAATTGGGTAGTTTGGGGCATTTGTACACCATTATGATGAACTTCGAAATAATGTTCATAACATACATTTTACAAAAAAAAACTTTTTAAAAATCGGTATTGGTACCAATTAAAAATTAATTTTTCTGAATCATTAAAAATTTCCCATCGAATGCTATTCATAGCTAAAATTGTTTAAGTTTTGCACAAAATGATGATATAATTATGGTGTAATACAAAAAACACATATAATAAATTTTATTGAAAAAGGTTCTTAAAAATCGGTTTTTGCACGAGTTAAAAATTAATTTTTCTAAATCGATCGGAAATATGTAGGCTGCCATTGGCGCTATTGAAACTTTACTGTAACTATTTGATTTGTGAGTTACTTTTGAAAGCGCGTCTTTGTTAATTTCCGCTTCGTTACGATTGGCATCATCGCCGATTCACTTGGCAGCATTGGTTATTGGCAAGCGCGGGAAACTCAAAAGCTCTATGTATCATATATATTTTTGATGCACATCCGCATTCGTGTGTGTGCGTGTGTGTGTGCTTACATGCAAATTTGGTTTTTTCAGCCAGCGAAGAGCATTAAAATAATGTCGACGTTGGTCACTGCGTATGTAGAAGAAATTTGGAGCATTGGCCTGCCGGCGGACAAACATGCTCGGCACTTGGGAACCCTGGAAGGTGGCGCATGATGTCATCAGTTCGGTGCGATGCGATGCAGGGCTGCCCATTACGACACACGAACATGGCACACAGTACATATAGTATCCATATATACATATATATATGCTTATATACGTAGGAAACAAGATATAAAAATAAGTGCTACCTTTGCCTGCACACGAGTGTGTGTGTGTACTGTTGTTGTTGCTGGTGTGCGTGGTCAACTAACGATTCACGCGCGGAACGCATTACCGAGCCCCATCGCATACCTCCACTTTCACTTCCACTTCCACTTCCACTTCCACCTTCTGATTACCAACCCATCCAACAGATCCCGCCCAAATGGCCACGTCGACCTCGTTAGAAAGCCCTGACAATGTTGTTTTCGGTTATAAATACATTTCACAAAGTTAGTGTACATGACATAACTTTAATGATCATTTAACAGCAAGTTAGGTATCCATATCTGAGATCGATATTATTTTTTAATTCATTAGCAAACCATGAACCTTGAGGGCTTTTTATCAATATTATGGGTTGTCATCGGCAGTGTTAAGTGTGCAGGTTAAGTAAGGGAGAGCTTTTAGCTTTAAGGTAACTATTGCCTTTTAAATTAAATATATTAAAAATACAGTTATTAATTTTTTTCTGGATTTATATACATATATAGTTTATTTATTGTTTTGTGTTGTTGAGCAAAAAGCTAAGTTGGTTAACCCTTAAATTCATAGAGTTCAATTCCTGTTGGTTGCAATGCCCTCCAGCTGGTTTGGCCATTGATTGAATTCGTTTGATTGTTTGCTGGTTTTGATTACCGCCCCGAAAACTACTGACTTGGCTCAGGACTATAGCCACAACCATACCCACAACCATACCCATACACATATCCATACCCATGCCTTTGGCCCCACTCGATTGGCTCTCTCTGGAGGCCCATTGAAACAGTGGCGGCATACGTTTTGCAGCGACTGTGGGCCGCCCGCTCATCGGGCCACACTTAGCAGAGATTCCAGTGACTTTCGAGATTTTATTAGCCTCGTATGGGATTTCTGTATTTGTTGGTCTGGTTGGTTCGCATACCAGGAAAGGATATGCCAGGCGGCTAAGAGCAGTGGAGCTGGATCATGCCCATCCCTATACATATTCCTATCCCAATCCCAATCCCAATCCATATCCATATCCCTATTCTTATCCCTATTCCCATAAAAAGCCATCCCGTGCTGCATAATATGCGATTCCATTGACCGTTCTGGCCTGCTGCTGCGCATTGCAGTTAACCCCGAAAGGAACAATGCAGCAGGCACACTGAAAACATTAAGATAGCTGTACTCAAATCGTTAGCATTAATTTCCTTTTATTTTTGTATCTAAATATATGACGCTAACTCTTGTTTTATTCAGTAGGATTGCAATAAACTAAGTTCATGTTAAAGAAATAAATATAATTGGAAGCCGAAATTTAACCTTAAGCAATAAACAAGAAATATGTTGAGATAACAGCGTAAGTAGTTTATATTTTAAAGATCCTTCCAATTAAATTGAATTAAAAAAAAGATGTGGTACAACCCTTTCTTTGATGTGAAAAAAATGATAATCTTAAAATACATTATTTATTTATTTTTCAAAGATCAGAGCTTCAAATTAACCAACTAACAGTTTTTATTTACGCCTTATAAATATTTTTATTTGTTTTTCAATTGCTTTTGCAATTATGGGGTCTAAAACTTTAGAACACCACAAACGAGTTCATTTTTCTTTTTTGATCATTAAAACATTTTTGTAATTTTTATTCTCAGTGAAGCCATAGTGCTCCATTTTTGTTCCGTGCCAAGACAACTTTGAAAAGGAGTTGCAGCAGTTTTTCGATGAGGCAATTTCATTCTCAGCTGGACTTTTGCCCCATTGCCAGTGCAGCTGCACTTCACCAAAAGGGTGGTGGCGATGGGGAAGGGGAAAGGGGAAAGGGGGAGGTTGTGAAATGTTGGTGAAAGTAGGGAAATGAGAGAAATGGAGAAAAGTGGCGCGCCGTTTGGCAGGGGCCACAAGTCAAAGCAAAGCATTTGGTTTCGTTTCGTGACATTTGGATGATTTCTGCCTATTTCCTGGCCAAAACACACAGCCCCCTCCCCCTCCCTCCACACCCCTTAACCCTTATTGCCCCACCCCCGTCGATTCTTAACCCTCTAGCCGACTTTAATCGCGTGTTTGGCTCACATTTTAACGCTCGTCGTTTTCAGTCGACTGTTGCCACAGCAACACAACACGAACTGCAAATGCAATGCAAAAGAGCAGTGGGCAAATTGATGGGGGGTTTTAAGTGGTTGGGGGGGTGGGGGGTGGCCGGTGACAGTTGGGCGGTGGGTGTTGGTCGGTGGGTGATTGGCATGTTGGCATCTAACCTATTTACAACCGAGGAAGGTGCGTTGGCAAATCGCTTCTCGCTGCTCTTCATTTCCTGTCTCCATTTCGATGGGGCGCAAAATATCTGCCAGGAAATTCACTTGCACACCCTCCCAACTTAGCAGCAAAAAAAAAAAAAAAGAAAATCCAAAAATTGCCAAACTAAAAAGCAAAAAAAAAAAAAAAAGGGGCGAGCGAGGAAAAGCGAAAAATTCAAGTCAATTATCCGCAGCACGTGTACTTAAATATTATGCGTAATTATGGCGCTCGAGATGGCGATGGCATAATTAGCCCTGTTATTTGTGTATTCGCTTATTATGGGGCTCGTGTTGCTGTTGCTGTCGCAAATGCTGTTGCCAACAGTCCACAGATCGTCAACGCATATCGAACAGCCTCTGCAACACCCTACAACCAACTAAATACCCTTTAAATTGTCATATGACCTTTTAAATTTGAATTAATTACAACTTAGTCTAATAATAATCACTTGAAGCCAAGTGAAAAAGTTTATCTTACGCAACACGAAATTGATATACCCTTACAGTAACTTGTCACTGAAATTGCTAGCTATCGAAATTCAATAAAATTAAGACTATAAAATTGGTAAGCCGCAACAATTTTATATTTAGCCTTGAGCACCACCTAAACTGAAACAAAATAACTTAATAACTGAATTAAATATATATAAATAAAGTAAATTAAACTAATTATTTACATTTTTTAAAATAATATTGTATGTTTCAAATTAAGAAATGAATGTAATCGATGTGACTAGTGCAGTAAATTATAAGTGATGTGATGATCATTCCAATAAATTAATATTAATGCTCACCTAAAATATGGCTTTGCTTTTTTATATAAAATTATAAAATAATTACTTGATTTGCGTTCGAATCACACTAAATATTTAAATTATACAAGCAATGCAGAAGAAGAATTCTAAGCATGAACTAATTTTATTTAAAATTTTAAAATAAATATCTTTGCTGGTTTCTAAATGCGCTCATTGGGAAAACTCAGTTCTCTTATATTTTCATATAATATTAATAACAGTTTAAATCAGGATAATACAGTAAGAGTAATTCAATTTTATAATTAGATTTGTGGTTAAAAAGAAAAACAGGGTATGGCCAAGACAATAACAGTATGTCAGGAAAAAGCAGGACGCTTAACATGCGCGTCTCATGAGCCAAAATTTATGCAAATTCGCCTGTTCCCATCCCTCGTCCTTCGGCCACCTCTCACATTTCGCCTCATGTGGCAAGTGCTAAGGAAAGGAAACGCACAGTTGAATAATGTAAGGCTATGCTAATGTGCAGGTACGCAGCTACACACACAGGCACACACAGGTACACACAGGCACACACAGGTGTACATTACACATTTGCTGCATTTGCTTTGGCATTATTATAAGGGGGGGTCACCTTACCCTCGTTGGCAATGGAAAGTGCAAGTGGAAAGTGTTTGCCATAACCGAGAGCGATTAAATTAAATATTCAATTTGCTTCGCCCAGCCGGATACATTTGACATCAGCATCGACATCGACATTGGCCAGCAGTCACAGCAATTCGTCCTTCTTGGTGAAGTAAAAGGGAAACAGACCACACTTATATATTTGCCCCATATGAATTATCATGTTTAAGATCGCTCACGTCCAGTACTTCTTTAATATACGTAATAGTATAATTATTGGGTCATCAACTCTTTTAAATGCAGTTAGTGGAAAC